CAGCTTTAAAAAATAATGGTCTAACAGCAAGACCCAGTAAGGTTGAAATTAGCATGACAGAAAATCAATTCTTAGGTTACATGATTTTGTACCAAACTGTAAAACCTATGGGCAAAACGTTAAAGCATATTCTAGACATAAAAATTCCTAAATCCCTAAAGGAAGTACGTAGGGCTTTGCAATTATTATAGGTAATTTATTCCTAATTTCACCTCACTTGTACACCCAATCACCGAGTTAACAAGAAAGAAAGGCAGGTACAAGGGTATTGAGTGGACTAAGGAATGTGATGATACATTACATAGACGCTGTTTGTGGAGCAGCCAATCCCAAGGCTACCTGATTTGGGCAGACCTTTTCTTTTGGCTAGGGATGCTTCTGCTTTTGGTGCGTGCTTGATGCAGGAGGTAAATACCCATCTACACCCTGTTGTATACGTTAGCAGGAAGCTATCCGAGTAAAAAAAAAAATGCTACGATTGAGAAGGAATGTTTGGCGATCGTGTGTGCCATAACAAAGCTGTCTAAGTATCTCTCTGGCATACATTTTACTTTACTGACTGACCAGTCCCCATTGGTAGCATTAGAACGTAAAAAACTTCATAATGCTAAGTTGACTAGGTGGGCACTTATCTTACAAGATTACAAGTTTGACATTGTACATATTCCCACAATGTTATTGCAGATGCGTTATCTAGGAACTGAGGATATTAGGGGTTGGGAGAGGGTCATTTAAAGGTTTACAATTAATGCTGTATTATGTAAATATATGATGTTTTTAAGATGATGATATTGTTTGATAACATGTTTGCATTAAAATAATTATTGTGTTATGTTTGATGAGTATTTCTTTCTATATGTGAAATAATTAGATGATAACATGTATGTTAGCATAACATTTGTTTGAAGGAAAAGGTAAATTGTAACATTTGAATTATGACTTAGCAACTTAATATTGTTAGCTTGGTGTGTTTGTTTATTCCTATTAGCTTCTAGCTGTTTCAAGTTTTACAAGCAACCATATTGGCTCAGAACGAAGACAAGTTTTGTCTCATTTTGTTGTATATTATGTCTTAGCTAATAACATATTAGGGATATATTAATAGCCTTTATGGGGAGGGGGGTATGTTTAATGATGATAGGATTGTAACATATAAGTATTTACGTAGATTTAGAGTAGCTTCCCTTTTGTTTACATGTTTTCATTAACCTTCAATCTATAGTCTATTTTAGTTATATTGAGATCAAAGAATGTAAATAAATAGTATGCACACATTTTGTAGCATAGGAACAATAAGGAGGGAAGTAACTTAGATGTAAGGTAGGGTATAAAAGGTGGGGTTAGGAAAGTTAGGAGGTCCATTCTCTTATAGACATCCTAGGTTTCGTTTCATCTCGCGAGCAATAAAATAAATTAATTGTTAACGGACTTTGTGTTTGATTCTTGCCGACCCAGTCCTCACCTCACAACATATATATATATATATATATATATATATATATATATATATATATATATATATATATATGGATACAGGGTCTGGTAAAACGTCTGGCAACAATGAGGATAAGCAATGGATGGGGAGAGGAATGTGTGTAAAAAAGAGTGCCTTTCTTTGTGGACGATGAAGAGCAGATTCAATTCCGTTCCACATTTAGAAAAGCAAAAGGTACCCCAGGACTACATAGCTAACTTATCAACCATACTTTACATACTTTCAACTTCATTTTAAGATGTAGCATTCGAAAAAAAAATCAATCACACTAACTTAACAAAAGCAACTCAATTAGCACCTGACTCAAAGGTCTTTAACTTAGAAAGTCTCCCCCTACCCCTCCTTATACAATGGTTATTTGAGTGTGAGTGGGTATCAAGAAAATAAATATATGCCTTTCTTTACAAGGGTATGTTTTATTCTTTAGCAAGATAAACTAATGGGATATGAAATAAATGAAGACTATTAGTGTACACCAGGGGTCTCCAAACTACGGCCACTGAATGAATGTATGTTATAGTTGGCTGAGGGACTTGGCCCAGAAAATTCAAAACAATTTGAAAATGTAGCTTTGGGTGCAAATACTATTGCCCACCGTGTTGCAGACATTGGTGAAAACATCGTGACTCAAATAGCGAAAAATGCAAGCAGGCTTTGTAATTTTTCAATTGCAATCGACGAGTCGATGTACAGCTGTTCCACCTCTCAACTTCTTGTGTTTCTTAGAAGAGTGGATGAAGACATGAACATAACACAAGAGCTGGCTTCCCTACATAGAATGTATGGCACTGTTACCGGAGAGGATATCTAACCATAGATAGTTCAGAGACATGCTGAAAGATAAAAACACAGAATCGCAAGATTTACCATATTTCACAGCAGTAATTTGCGAGAAAGTTCTGAGCAGAGTATTTAAGTTAAGAAAGGAAATAGGTGACTTCCTGGAAAGTAAAATAAAGCCACAGGCATTAATGTCTGATAAAGAAAAGGGTATAGAAATTGGCTTCTGCTGCAGACATAACTAGTCATTTAAATTTTCTGAACCTAAAACTATAAGAGAGGGAAATCTAGTTTCTGATCTATACACCCACTTAAAGGCCTTCAGATCCAAACTTGTCATGTTTTTGGAACAAGTACAGGCCAAAAACTTGACGCATTCTCATCAGTGCTAGGTCTTTATAACTGCAGCAACCACTGAGCTCCCCACATTATTTGGATACGAGATCATCAAAGACTTCCAGCTGCAGTTTCAGTAGGGGTCTTCTGACTTGGATTCAAAGGCAGAAAAAAAGTGAGACTGTTTCAAAACCCATTTCAAAACGCCTCAAAGAGATGCTTGGAAGAAACTCTGGCCCCCGAACTGATATATGATCGTTAATGCGGCCCTCGGGCTGAAAAGTTTGTGGAGACCCCTGGTGTACACATTCAGCTTGTTACAATAGAATGAACACACTTGTAAAATGTTATGTTTTTTAACTAATATTTCTTGTATTAATAAGCATTAGATCCCGCACAGTCTACTTGGTGAATGTAATCAACCACTGTTCAATCAATAAATTCCACCTTTGGCTTAAAATGTTTAAGACAGCTTAGATACATCTTTATTTTACACTTTAAAATAGACCTAATGGTCTAATAATATTATACAAATATAACGGAATACGAAAGCGGAGAAAGGTAGTATCGATACCGCTAACACTTAGGCCTATGGGGTCTATTTTGTTAATCGGCTTTTACAGCTTGCAAACGTCTGAAGAAGAAAGTAAAAACATTTGTGAAAATAACATTAAAAATGTACCGACTCACACTAAATTCAAATTAAGTCTGAATGTTTTCTTATTTTAATTGATCTAAATACCAACGGATAATTATAGGGACAAAACATTAGCGATCCTGCTTTCTGCAATTTTTAGATTTAAGCCTCTACTATAATGCATTACGAAAAAGATGATTTTCGTTGTTAAAAAATTAAACTAAAAATCGTATAGTCTTACTCAAATAGAACCTAGTGTCATTATTACTTTCACGTATATACGAAGTAAAGAGAAAGTCTTGTAATCGTGCAAAAAAAAAAAAAAATCGAGATTTTTACAAATGTCGACGTTTTACATCTCACTGATACGGAAAAACATAATTTTGCAATCTTGTCTGTGTGTCTGTCTGTGTGTGTGTGTGTGTAAACACGATAACTTGAGTACCGTTACAGCTAGGTTGATGAAATTTCATATATAAGTATTTTATCAAAATCGTAGATCCGTATCAACTTTTGAGCGCTTTCCGATAATCGGAAGTGGTACTTCTCTTACTTTGAAATTTTCAAAAGCCTGTAACTTGAGTACTATTTCAGATAGATAAACGAAATTTCACATGTAAGTAAAAGATCTAATTCACTACCTTCTGTTAAATTTTGAGTAATTTCCGTTGACCGGAAGTACTAATTTACGCTATTTCCGATTTCTCAAAAAACGCATGTAAATTTATAAAGTACTAATAATATTGCGCACTATTATGCACATTTTGTTTTGGTGTTTGCTTGGTGCACAATTCTTTTTTCTATGAGATTCTATTCTATTTTTAAAAGTTTAAGTAATTAAAAATCATGTCTACATTCCAAGTTATATAAGAATATTAGAGAAAGTTTAGGGTTTATTTTTTGTTTAGTATCCCACTAAAGGCTATTCAATTCTGCACATTTTACAGGTATTTGTAAAGGAAAAAGTTGAACTGTCAAAAAAAGCCCGCTAGTTGAATGAGAGAGGGGTCAAAATCCGTAACTAGACTGCCGTTGAAAAATCATTTCGGTGATAGTTTTCAATTTGTAAATGAGATATATTGTTTAATATCAACAACTATAAAAATTACACATAATTAGAGGGCTTAAAATCTACTTTTTAATGATACGAAGGTTATTACTATATGAGCTCTTTTTATAATTGAAACAATGAAGTGAAAAGCTACTATATTTGGGCGACGTGGGCAAAAACTGTGTTTTTTACCGCAGTTTGACATACCTACTAATATGGGGAAACAAAAAATAAACTGAAAACTGCTCAAGTACAATTTTGAAATTTCAAGTCTTAACCCTAATAAGGTAAAATTCAATGCTTAAAAAAAAAAAGAATAAATTCTCCAGTGTCACATTAATATTTGAATTGTATTAAAGCATAATAGACGCATTAAATTTAAAAGTAGTTTCGAACCCTATGGTCCATGGGGCAGATGAAATAGAGTTCAACTGTTTCAAAGACTTTGTTGCATGAAGAGAGGGTGTGGTCAGCCTTATTCCAGCCGCCTTTCCCTAACATCAGAACTGAGTGGAATATGACTGTCATGATTTGAGCTTGGGGTATGAATTCTGAACTTTTTGGTTAGCAGCCAAGCACTACCATTCAACCACACTGTCCCTTGTACACACTGAGCGAATTTCTAAAAATATTTTTAAGACTTAAAAACACTAGCATTTCTATAAAAGCTGATTATAACAGAAAAATAAGCTGAACTTTACCATTCAGTAATGGCTTTGCATATATCCATATTTGAAAGTTTTAACAAAGCCTTTCCCATCAATGTCTCTGTTGAGGAGAACATGCCAACATCATTCTTAACTGTAATCTCCAATGTTCTTTTAGCCATTTCTTGTTGAGAAACTTGATATTCAAAACTAAAAATAAAAATTTTAAGTGTGTAACTTAAATTCAAATTTTACATATTCCAACCAACACATTTTATTTGGATTTACTATGGATATGTTACAGGTAAAGTATGAAAACCAGGCTTATTAGAATTAGAATGTCTAGGCAATGTATGAAATGCCTGGCGTTTTCAGGCTAAGTGTGCATTATCAATGTTGTGGTATATGCCTACTTTTCTTAGGCATTATATAAAATGCCTAGGCATTGTATAGAATGACAAGAACTGCTCAGGCACGGTGTGAAATGTCCAGATTACTAAAGGATTTAGTAACAAACAGAGTAAAAAATGAAAGAAATAATAGAAAATTAACAACAGCAAATCTTTACTGAGCTAACAAAGGAATCAAAAGTGCTTTTACTTACTATTTTTTGCAGCGGAGAAAGCTTACCCTAGCCATAAATCTAAACCTAACCTATAAGCTAATCTTAACAAAAGGGCTGGAATGATCTGGCTAGAAAGCGTATTCTACACTTTGTTTGGGTATTCTGTAGACTGACCAGGTAATGTATGAAATAATAATGTATTTTATACTTTGACTACCCATTTCAGGCATTATTGTAATTATACACATTGCCTAGGTATTCTATAGAATGCCGGACTATACTAGTAACATATATAAATTATTTTTTATTTCTGCTAAAATCAGACTAGCAAACTTTATCAATTACTTCAAGAAATTGTTTTTCATTTTTTAAAGTTTGTAGATTTCAAAATAAAGGTTTTTTAAAATTGTTCTTACTTTTGGATAATACAGATTGGTTTATCTGAACCTGGTACATTGGTTAATCGAACAAGCATCTTGCATACTAAAATGTCATTCTCTCCATGTTTTTATTTATGGTTATTAACTATCCTGACCTGTGTGCTGCCAATGTGTTACCAATTGTGTATTTTTTTGCTATTTTCATAACATTAGCATACTAAGATGAAAAATACAAACAAAAATATATACATTTTAATTCAACAAAAAAAAAATTATTAACTTATTAAGTGTCAAAACTGATTAATTTTCTGAAAAAGGGCAGTTAAAACCAGTTTTTTTATTGGTAAAAAATATTTTTTGGCAGACATTGTTTTCTGGTTGTCTAATTAATTTCTGTCAAACATGTCCTACCTAAATCGATCATATTGTCAAGATTTATTAATAACTAGCCATCGGTACCTGTTATAGGCCTATATATTTTAATGGTATACTTGTTTGAGAAAAATACTTTATAAAATAGTTATTGGTAAAAACAGTGTGCTTTACTACACATTGAACGATACTAGTGACAAAGCAAAGAAATAACTAAATAGCTAAAAAACAGACACATTTTAAATAACATAGGCTACCTATTAGAAAAACAAAATTAGTCAACACAACACAATATAAATGTACACAATGATTAAGAGATGTAAATGATTCCATTAACGCTGCTGTTCAAGGTATTTATGGTTTTTTTTAAAAAGTAATTTGTATTACTTTTGGCAGAGAAAATAATATACATTTCATAGGTCTTCATAAGTATATCTAGAACTCTAAATCAAATTTAAATGAAATAGTTCATTTCTTTATATTCTAAAATTAGAAGATGATGCCATTAATTTTGTGTACTTTACAAACTGTTATGTAGGTGCGCGGACCTTTGACCACAGGTGCTTTGACCATAAGGGGTTTGACCATAGGGGGTTTGATCACAGCGGAGCTTTGACCATAGGGGGTTTGACCACAGGTGCTTTGACCATAAGGGGTTTGACCATAGGGGGTTTGATCACAGCGGAGCTTTGACCATAGGGGGTTTGATCATAGGGGGTTTGACCACAGGTGTTTTCGCAGCAGAGATTCTTTGATCACAGATGGTTTGTCAACAGGTGTTTGATCATAAGCGCTGTGTCCGGCTTTAAACACAGGTGATTTTTCCATATAGGGTCTTTGATCACAGGGTTTTTTGTCCATATAGGGTCTTTGATCACAGGTGGTTTGTCCAATGCTGGCGTTTGATAATAAGTGCTTTCTCCAAATATTGTAATAATTTATTTTAAATGTGTGTAATTATATTTTAAATTGCGGCAGGATATAATATGTTAATTCATCATATATAAATACAAGTCATCTAAACCATACAATTATTACTTCTTTGAATACACTGTTGGCATGTTTTTTTATCCTTTGTTATCATTTCTATTTATGTATTTTCAAGGACATCTACATTATTTATTTGTCAAACTTGTTATATGTCGCATTATTTGTTCCATTTAAAATAAATTCTATTAGGCCTTTATGTGGAGACTAAAATATCGTTCTTAACTTTTTTTAGTACGTTAATTTCTATTAATGGACTCCCAGGAAACATATATAAAATCGTATTAATTGTATCACAAATTTAAATCAAATAACAATTTATAATATCTATTTTAAAATCTATATATTATGGTTAACTCCGATCTGTGGTCAAAGCCCCGCTGTGGTCAAACCCACTATGGTCAAAGCACCTGTGGTCAAAGCACCTAGGACCGTTATGTAGGATAAATAACTAACCAAGCTAGTCTTGGTTATTACCCTTAGTATTTTAACAGTCATTCTTTGCAACTATAACATTTACATATATATACCTTGTAAAAATATGTAATCAACAACCTCCTTACATGGTTGCCAACATTTAGTTTTTAAGTACAAATTAGAGAACTTATTAATGTTTTGTTTGCAGTCCAGCACTCTTTTTAAAGAACTCAAAAAGCAGAAAAGTGTAAATACATCTGCACTCAAGTGCGGACCATTAATATAAATGCACGTAATTACAACAGTAATAGTAATACCCATCCTTAATTCCTCCTCAACCTTCTATTCCAAGTGTGTGTTGGAAGAGTCAAATCATCAATTTTATTGTGATATAAATTATTTTAAGCTACACCCATGAGCTATTTTGTTGTAAAATCATCACTAAAAATAAAATCCATACATGAACTGAATGAATATTTCTGGTCGGCTTTGACCACTTTAATAATTTTTCATGTAAATGACATTTTTTGGGCACCCCATGGCAGTGGTCTACAACACAAAATATAAGGGGGCGGGATGATTGAGAAGATATTTTTTTCTATAACATTGGCCAGTCACTGTTATTTTTCCCCAGCTCATGGAATTTTTGACATTAGACATTGTGAACTAAATAAAAGCTTTTTAAAAAAAAGGTTGTGAAGCTATTTCTGAATACACTTACGTTTCATCAAAAACAGGGTTCAAATTATCTTTGATAATCTTTGTACGCTTCTTAGAAGCACTAGACTTGTCAGGTAATAAATAAAGTTTGACATAAGGATCTGCCAAGTTTTTACTGTCCCCTTGAACAGGTTTTAGGTTACTGGAATAGTAAAAAGACATTAAAACATAATTGTACATTTTAGCATTAATAAAAAAAATATTTTAGTTTATACTTTGCTAATACGCAATTTTACAAAAATATATGTTTTAAAAAAATTGTTTAAAACAAAAACAATATACAGAACTATGGTGATACTATGGGATAAAATATAGTACATACGAGCATTTATGCACAACAACAATAAGTCTCTCTCTTTGAAGGCTGTATCTAATAGTCATTTGTATACGTCCAAGATTGTAACTGCCAGTGCCGCTGTAATATTTTTTTATTAGCAAAAATTTGAGCTATCAACATTTGAAAACAAATAATCAATTAAGAATAATGAAAAATAACATTAACATTAAATAAAGTGAAGTAATAAATATATATATATATCTTGTATATAAATATGTGCGTGTGTGTGTGTATATATATATAAGCCTATATGAAAGCATGGTCTTTATTTTCGCATTTTTGATTGTTCAACCGAGTACTCCCCAACTGGGCCACAATTTTTTACAAAAACAAAATCCAGTAAAATATTTTTAAGATCTGATTATATTTATACCATAGCCAGAAGACTCAGCTTTTTCTTGCATTCAGCATATATTCAGATGAAATTATAAAATAACCTATTTTATTTTTAAATGCAATTAAGATTGTAGAAAGTTTGGATAAATAATTAAATAACACAAAATGTGTTCAATAAAATAAACATAAGGGGCAGACCTTTTAATTAACCAGCTTTCAATTTTGTTTCCTACTAATTTGGGTACTATTGGTGAATTCTTGGTCGGTATTTGTAATAGTATTTTAGATATGAATAACATAATTTATACCTTGTAAGCTTTCAAAGATAATGAGAAGAATTTTTTCATTATTTGAAAATAAATTAAGACAAAGAATTAAGTTTTTAGATGATTAGTTGATTACTCTGATAGCATCATCTATTTATTCCACACAATTGCTAACAAATAGTTCCTGTGAAACTGCTTACCTTCTACGATCATCTTGTACAAAATTATGTGAAAAACAACATTTATCAGCCTATTAGTATACTATGCAGTATGGGATAGGGTTGGATCATAACAAGAATTATTGTTTGGAAATATGATTGATCAAGGAACAAACTTAAATGAAAGTAAAGTAAATCAGTAAAGTAGTCAAAAATATGCAGCAGAAAGAGAATGGAAACAAATGCTGAAAATATTTTTGATATTGCACATGCCAATTATAAAATAGAACAGAGTTAATCACTTCAACTCATTGTGATGACTGTCATAGTTTTTTTTTTTTAGAAATTAACACTATGATGACTATCATAGTTTCATTTTTAGAAATTAATTATTTTGGAGTTTTTGTAATATTTTAAATGGTTGATGATCCATTAATTCACCTGTTGTGTATTCAAACATTGAAACACATATTTGGTAAGTTTTTTTTAAGGTTTGTTGGTTTCACACAGTATATATAGATGTAGTGGCTATTAATTTGGCACTCAAGGATCTTAACCATGATCTTCTCATATACCAGTTATTCATAAACAAGAAATTACATGAATGAAAACAAATCCGGCAAATGAAAAGTTATATGAAAGATTAAAGTCTTAAAATAGTTCAGTAAAAAACTCCATTAATCATTTTTTTTAATAATTATTTTTTCTATTTTTTTTCCCAGCCAAATATCAGTGAATAATCTATATATAATCTTCTGGGAGCGTTAGAAAACAAGATGCAAGCGCGCCTTACAGTCCCCTCTCTTCCTCTCTATCGCTACCACCCCCCCACCCCCTCAAATGGTCTGGTGAGCTGTGGTTCACACTGTTTACATTTTACAATCATAGAGACGGGTTTGGTGACGGCTAATAGGGGCAGATAATTTAGTTTGAAACGATTTTAAACTTAGAGGAGGTAACTAAGAGGAGGCTGCTTTCACGTGAGGGGGGGGGGGGGTGGTGTTTAGAGTTTTTAAGCAAATATTTTCAGTGGCAGCATTGGTACTGTCGAATTCACAAATTATAAATTACTGAAAAGAAGAAAAAAAAATAACAACTAAATAGCGGCGTATGATACGCAGCGGGTCGCCTCGTTTCATTATATTCTAAACTAGCCGTCCCGGCCAGGCCCTGCTCTGGCTTTTGTGAAAAACATTTCTGTTAAAGACCATTACCTGTGTGTTTAGTAATCATCATAAACCCGGCATTGCCCACCCAAACCACAACCAACCAAAACCAAAACAACAAAACGCAAACATAACGCTAACACAATTACAAATACAAACGAAAACAAAAACTTAACAACAAACACAACCACACCCACAAACACCAATACAAACACAAAGAAAAAACAAACAAAAAAGCAAACGAAAACAAAAACCTAACAACAAACCCAACCACAAGCACCAATACCAACAAAAAAAAAATCAACGAAAAAAGCAAACGAAAACAAACCAAATCCAAACGCAAAACCAACCAAAAACACAAATACAAACCCAAACAAAAAAAACACAAACAAAAACGAAAAAAGAAAGAACAAAAACGAACCAAATTAAAACGCAACCACTAACGCAAACCCACCTAAACACAAAGAAAACACTAACGCGAACATAAACGCCCGGGGCGGAATCACCTGTTTTAGCTTAATGAACGACTATAGTACCCCAACTTATTCACAGTCTTTTGCACTCACTTAAACGAACGCGCCTGTTTCAATTTAATAAACAATTTTAATACTCCAAGCTTATCCGTAAAATACCTACAACATTTGCACTTGATCAATCCCCGCTAATTATGTAATTATTTTTTTTCCCAACACCAAAACAAAGTAATTAAAAAGTAAATTATTTTCGACTAATGCAATGGTTTTATAAAGGGAAGTAATTTTGTTTTCCTAATTTATCAAAGGGAAGTAAGTGCTGTAGGACTAAATAAAGACATAATTAGAATTTTTGTAAAAGATGATATTTTTTTTAAACTTGTGTTTAATGAACATGCCGACAATTATTACTGTAATTTGAAAAATGAAAATGATTTCCCAACACTTTCAATGGTAATTTTTTAGCTCATAAATTTAGACAAATGCGCACGATAATTTTCTAACACTTAAATTCGTACAATTCCAACGACATACAAATGCATTACATACAGAACTGAGCTTTATATATTAGATTAGAGGATCTGTCAAGCATATCCTTTTGCAAATTAATAATATTGTTGGAATCTAAAAGAATTAACAGACATATCATTAAAACACTAGCCGATAGTAAATAGAGCTTTAAAATGCATTAAACTTTTCAATCAACAACATTGTAGATTTCTATGGATCTCATGTTTTAAAAAATAATGCATTTATTCTTATGTTGTATAATTGTGTGTCTTTACATGTGGATATTTGTTATCTACATAAGTACGCATAGTGTAGATGTTCTGATCTTGTGTGTTAGCTAATCACTCAGGTGGTATGGAAACGGAACCTAGGCAGTCATTGTCAATTTTTTTTAACGTTCCCACCCGTGTTTCCTTTCAAGCTGTGTGGTTGTGTGGCTGCACAGTAGTTTTGAACTTGCAGCGCAGTCCTTTTGTAAAATACATATATCCTTGTGTATATCCTTGTATAACACCATCCACACAAAATACAAGTTGCACACTAGCCTTTTCCCCTTAGAGGGAATGTTGTTCCCACCCAGAATGTGGCCAGAGGAAAATCTCATAGCAAATAAATAGCTCTATGTAAATCATTGCTTTTTTTTTTGACGTTTGTTTTTATAGTTTATTTATTAATTATTCATAGGAGGTTCGTGCTAGAAAGAAATGGCCTCATAATTATTTTGACTCTGACTAATATTTTGCTTTGAAAATTTGTTTTCCAATCAAAAATATAAAAATAGCGTGCACTGAAGGAATATCAACACCAACATGACACTTACACAAGGGACATGCTACAGGCAGTGCTCTGCTCGTTTCAAATATAAATATTACACAGCGTTTACCATGTATATCATAGATGTTTAGAACATGCAAAAAGTTAATTTTTATCTGGAAAACATTTTTTTCTTACGGAACATGTTTACTTAAGCGTTAGCTCTAACTAAACATCTTATAGAACAAGTTACACTGTGTTTACACTTGCAGCATGTGTACTAAACATACCTAGGAAAAAACCTTGTAACAAGGTGATGTTATATGAAAACATTTTCCCCACGGAACATGTATACTTACTTGCTCAGAATTTTTCTTCTAACATGTACAGAATACATAGTCGAAAGTATAAACATGTTGTTGGAAAACATGACCTTTGACCTGGAGGTGACCTCCAATATCCTTTTTGGCTGGTGTCAATTTATTTGGATAACTGAATGTTAGTTGTGTGTTCGGAAGTGTGTGTTTACAGGGCATCACACATTTTTGGGTGGGTGGAGAAATGGTGCTTATAATTTTTTGTTCAGCGCACCTGTGTGATAGTGAGTTTGCAACCAAACTATGAGCTGTTGTGAATTTTTCCCCCAAGTGCTGTGAATTATTTTCCATAGATCAAAAGGGGAAGAAATGTGGGTCGAGGGCCTTATTTCAGACATGCCTACCCTGTCAACCAAAAGTAGGAACAGTCATGCCCAAAAAGAGGAATTTGAAGCCAATAAGAAGAACATACACGTGGACGCTACTTTATAATTATTAAGTCAAAAATATAGGATATATGGGATATAGACATGATTTTTAATCCATTTTTAATTACTTAAACTTTTAAAAATAGAATGGAATATCTTTTTAAAAAGAATTGCGCACCAAGTGAATGCCAAATAATATTTGTATAATAGTGCTGAATATTATTAGTACTTTAAAAATTCATATTCGTTTTTTGAGAAATCGGAAATAGCGTAAATTACTACTTCCGGTCAACGGAAATTACTCAAAATTTGATAGAAGGCAGAGAATAAGATCTTATACGTACATTTCATTTTATGTAAAATTTCAGTTTTTAAAATCTGAAACAGTACTTAAGTTATAGACTTTTGAAAAAATGAAAGTAGAATAAGTTCCACTTCAGGTTACCGGAAATCGCTGAAAAGTTGATACAGAACTATAAATTTGATATAATACTTAAATATGAAATTTCATCAACCTAGCTGAAACGGTACTCAAGTTATCGTGTTTACAGACATACACACACACACAGACAAAATTGCAGAACTATGTCTTTCCGACCGAAAATTTTGATTGTTTTTTACACGATTACAATACTTCCTCTCTACTTAGTATACGAGAAAGTAAAAATAGATAATATAAATCAATGGTGTCGCGCTGACTCACTGCATCATCATGCAATAATTCACTAATAGTTAACTAATAGCGGAGGCATAAACTGCAGCACAACAAGGAAAAATAGAGGCTCTATTAAGTAACCAGGACCCTATCAGGCAAGAATATCAACCACAACAAACCAGTAAAGGATAAAGTAGGAAATATCTTAACAAGTGATACAGAACAGAGAGACAGATGGGTACAGCACTTTGATGAGATTTTAAACCAGGGGTCTCCAAACTTTTCAGTCCGAGGGCCGCATTAACTATAAAATTTCAGTTCGGGGGCCAGTTTCTTCCAGGCAAGTCTTTGATTTTTCTGGGCAAGATTCCTCAGCCATCACCAACAAACCTTTTTTTCCGTGGACAAAATGATCTCCGCGGGCCGGATGAGAGGAGCTCGCGGGCCACATCCGGCCCGCGGGCCGTAGTTTGGAGACCCCTGTTTTAAACCATCCTCTCTCATCCACCCACAAAGTTAGAAACAATAAGAGCAATAAAGAACATGAAAAATGGCAAAGCGGCTGGCTCGGACGGCATCCCACCAGAGGCACTAAAAACAGACCCAGCCATATCAGCAGACATACTACATTCTCTACTTAAGCAGATTTGGGAAGAAGAGATAATCCCATCTGACTGGAAACTGGGATACCTGATAAAACTGCCAAAGAAGGGAGACCTGACACAATGCAACAACTGGAGAGGGATAATGCTTCTTTCAGTCCCAAGTAAGGTGTTGACAAGAATCATCCTAGAGAGACTTAGAGATGCCTTGGACAAAAAGTTGAGACAAGAACAAGCTGGTTTTCGTCAAGACAGGTCATGTACTGACCACATTGCCACGCTGCGCATCATTATTGAACAGTCTCTTGAGTGGCAATCCCCCTTATACATGACTTTTGTCGACTTTGAAAGGCGTTTGACAGCGTGAATAGAGATGTTATCTGGAAGTTAATGAGCCACTATGGAATACCCAAAAAATTTATATCTATCACACAGAAACTATATGAAGACTCCACCAGTCAGGTAATACACAAGGGAAAACTAACAAAAGCATTCACGGTGACGACGGGAGTAAGACAGGGATGTATGCTATCACCAATGATATTCTTGATGGTTATCGACTGGATCATGCTGAAAACCACAATAAACCACACAGGAATCCAGTGGAGTTTCATAAAATGCTGGAAGATCTTGATTTTGCAGATGACATCTGCCTACTATCTCATAAGCATCAACATATGCAAGCCAAACTAAATCGGCTATCTGAAGAAGCCTCCAAAGTTGGACTAAAAATCAATAAAAATAAAACACAGGTCATCAGAATCAATAACAGCCAGGACCTGCCCATACAGCTAAATGGAGAAGATTTATGTGAAACGAACACATTCACATATCTGGGAAGCGTGATCAACAAGGACGGGGGAGCAGACGAGGACATAAAATGTCGTACCAACAAGGCTAGATGGGCCGTTAACTCACTGCGCCCGATGTGGAGGTCCACGGCCCTGTCACTCCGGAGCAAAATTGAGCTTTTCAACTCAAATGTCTAGACAGTGCTGCTCTATGGCTTGGACACTTGGAGAGTTACGAAGACAAATACTGTTAAGCTACAGGCATTTGTAAACAAATGCTTACGGCATATACTTAAAACAAGATGGCCAGACAAAATATCAAACAAAGACCTGTGGCGAACTTTAAAGCAACAGCAAATAAAGGCAGATATCAAGGCCCATAAACGGGGATGAATCATACACATATTAAGAAAAGAAAACATCGCAAAGCACGCTTTGGACTGGAATACCCAGGGAAAAAGTAGGGTGGGCCGGCCAAGGAAGACATGGAGAAGAACGGTTGAAGAAGAGGCGAGGACAGCTGGGCTCACATGGGCACAGATAAAGGGGGCGGCCCAAAACCGAGTCCGATGGAGATGTGTGGTTGCAGCCCTTTGCTCCCCAGGGGCCACAAAGGAATGATCATGATGATGAGAGTTAAAACTAACAGATTTTGAAAGTAGAAATGATGACCTTCATGGTGATATATTTTGTGATCTAAAAAGATATTACTAATAGTAAAAGAATGTATTTGATTATAGAGTAAAAAAGTCAATTTCTGAGGTTTCCAAATCATTGGACAAACAGCAAAAATAGATATTTTGAAAGGGCAGCCATTGTACGATTAAACTGTTTCATTTTTACTACATTTATGGCGCAGTAGCGCAGCACTTTGAAATTGCGTCATAAATTACTTCAAAATGTGCCATTCAAAAGGCAGCATTTTTAAAGCCAGGGTCTTCTAAATGTACAGTCATTTGCTAAAAAATTTGATGCTCTTAAAAATATTGCACTTTCTTGTATAAAATAACTATAATCGTAAAGTAAAAATGTTATTTAATAATATGCTATAACTAATTTAATTTAAAAAAAGCGTTTTTTAATATCTGTAATCGTGATGGTTTTGACTAATCGAGAACTCTTCACTCATATTTTTAAGACAACATAATTATGAAATGTTGACTGACTTTGCCATTATGTCTGTGTGTGTGTCTGTCTGTCCGTAAAGATGATAACTTGAGTACCATTTCAATTATGATGACAAAATTTCATGTATAGGTATTGTATCAAATTTGTACTTTTATATCTACTTTTGAACGATTTCCGGTATCAGTTACCTGCTTGCTCTAAAAACAAGGACAAGTTGTGGTTTTAAGACGAAACAATTAAAATACCTCGCTTGCTTTCTGTATCTTGTTTCAGGCTCAACACTTTTTACAACCTCCTCAAGTGGTTGAGTGCTTTTCTGCTTTGTGATATTAATTGGTTCACTAACTTCTGCTAGATTCTGGTCAAAATAAATGAGAGAATTGCTATTATTTAATCTGATGATTTGATTTGTATATACCCTAAATTATAAATTACAATAAAACAGGTAAACAAAATATCTACTACATTTATACCAATAATTTGTGGAAGAAATTTGTAATCATCAAGAGAAATTGTTTAATCTTCATTGTAATGCAAGACAAAAATCCTTGTTTTTATAAATCCTAATTATCATCTAAATCCTCTAGGTTTTAAGTGTCTGAGAACTGATCATAAATCAATTATTAAATAGTTATCCAATTTTAAAAACATCATGAAAACATATATGTCAGTGTCAAGTAAATTTTATGATAAAAAATGATCAATTAAATTGCAAATGGGGTTAATCAATAAAATTTTTTTTTTATTTACATAATTCCAAACAATAAGGAATCTTTAAATAAGAATTATTTGATTATAACATTTAACGGGTAACATTAATATTCATATAAAAAATAATGCCCAATAATAATCAAGCTGAAATGTATAAAAAGGCTGCATACATGTCCAATCATAATCAAGCTTAAATATATAAAAAGTTCAGCAACATCACAAAAAGTCATGTGGCATTTTAATGAAACAAATATACACATAAGATAGCTAGAATAAGAAGGGTTTGTGAAAATCAAATTGTTATACAAGAAAGTTTATATTTTAAATAGGGAAATTTATTTTAAAGCTGTATTTATTAAAAACATTATTTGCACTGGTATTATAGGATACACTAGCTTTGGAAATTTTAGAATTTTTAACATTTTGAAAAGCATAGATTGCCATTTCACATAGAGCAGATTATGCAGTCTTAATTATTTTTCTATAACCAACAGGAAATGATTAAAAGAATCCCTAGACCAGGTAATTAGTTGAGGCTCAAACATTTCCCGAAGAAGAACATCTTAAAACAAATGTTCAATATTTTTTGCTTAAAGCCTCAAAAGTTTGATGAAGTATTTGAAAAGTGCACACAATTTATTTTTTATAGCGTATTTTTTTTTGTAATAGAGTTCTGACAAAGGTGCATGGGGTAGATGAAGCAGAGATTATGTTTCTCAGACCTATGCTTATAGCGGGATAAAGTAGTGTGCTATATGCCTTCTTCAAAGTCCTACAGACTTAGCCTTGAATTGCACTCAAGAACAGATATGTAAGTGCCAATCAAATACGCAATTTTTTTTACAAACAATTGTAGTAATCAAATTACGGTAAGCATGTTAGGGGGTTGGCATGGTCAAGTCGGTGAAGCTCATGGTTGCTGAACTAAAAAATCTCGAGTTAGAACCCTCGGGCAGATGAGGCTCGTTAGCTGGGGACAGTCACTCTTCTAGGAGAGACAACTCCAAAATCAAACAACTGCTGCCTTGTAGTTTGTTCTTGGTTGGACAAAGGCTATGAAAGCAAATCCAAAAAGAAAAGCAGGCACATAACCAGTTGACCATATACTTAATTGTGTTGGAGGTGTGGTTGAGTCAGCAAAGCTCATGGTTATTTAAATTAGAAAAAGTCTCGAGTTCAAACCCTCTGGCAGATAAGGCTAGATCCATTCCAACACTAAAAATTAAGAATGAAGAAGAAGAAAGAAGCAGGTAAACGTGTTTTTAAAAAAAATTGCCACTGCATTATATTTAATAACCCCATTTCAGTTTCGTAAAAAAAAAAAAAAACTAGTAAAATCTAAGACAATATACTTTTCCCCCCTCAAATAACCTTGTTAGAATGATTCATTTCAAATATCACTAGTGGAATTGAGACTGAATGACACATGACAGTGCTAGTTGGAAAAGTGTAGTAAAATGGAGGTCAAAATTACATAATATAATAAGAAAGCATCTACACAATTTCATACACAAGTTTGTCCTACAATTAAATTTGCCTTTTCCTTCTTTTTTGCAGTACACAAAATAGAAACTACAAATTTTTCGCTAACGAAAGCTTTCCAACTTTATTTTTCTAGAATTTGTCTGAAGAAAAATATTGTCTATTTTCAGAGAAACTGGATTCATGTAAAAAAGTTGGAAAATTTATTATGCTCACATGGGTGTCGGTAACTGTGGATCTTAAGTACAAAATAAAATAAATTATTCTATTATTTGATTCTTTAGTGTTTTTTTTTGTAAATTTCTATAAGTAAAAATAAATCATACAATGTCTCTAAATTAAAAGTCATCAATTTTAATGTTCACTTTTTTAAAATTTTAAATATAAAACCACAGGAATTAACAAAGAAATTAAAAACATGAATGAAAATATTGTCAGGGAAACTGGATAATTTACCTGATAACAATAAAAAGAACAGAAAACTGAAGAATTTCTTATGTGATTTAAACATTTCTGCACAAATTCAACAAATTTTAGAACACAAAACAAAAAAATTGTTTAAAAGCATTATTTAAGTGCAATATTATTTATTAATAAATAAATGCCATGTTTCATTGTGCATTAGGTATGATATGTAAAGTTGTTATAAAAAGAATTAAATTCAGGCATAATAATATCAACCCATCAAGATTGGTAAGTAGTAAATTAATGATAAACATAAGTTTTTAAATAAATTGATTGATACAGATGTAGTATAATAAAGTATATCTCAATTATTTATGCATAAACATCGTGTTTATAAGGGATCCACCAACATTGTTTTAAGCTAGAACGAAGGAATATAAAGAAAATATAATGCAAGTTATATAGCTAAAACTAATCTGTTATAAATAAAAAGATGGCATATTTTTGGGCAACAAACAAAACAGTTCTTACATGTATAAGTCTACTATTTTAGTAATTCAGTGATCAAACACCTTTCATGTGATTTACATTCCCTTCTTCTATTTCTTTTAAAGCTATTTAACAGAAACTAAATTAAAACTTGTTGAATAATTTATTAAAAAATATTTTAAAATATGTTTACAGAAATGTAATCGGTGTCAGTGTTTAAAAACAACAAACCCTTATCACAATATTCTTAAATTAATTTTTTTGAAGAAACTTCTTTGGTAGCTTTATAAATAATATTGGTGTCCCTAAATGCTGATATAAATTCACTGTACTTTATAGATATGAATCAAAATAAGTATCTAATTCCCCATTTTGACTTATTAAAAGAGTGGCATCTTTATATTCAAGCACTAAGAGAGTAGAACATAACAGATTTTTATTGCAAATGTTAAGCAATCACACGTGAGTTAGTGATTTTTTTCTCTTAGCCATATTATACAATTGTGGGTCATTGTCTGGCAGTCTTCTATTTCAATCAACATTACCAGAGTGTACAGACAATTTATATCAAATTGCACCACTTCCTATACGCCATAAGATATCTGAGAATTCTTCTAGCAGAAAATTAAAGTTCCTAACTAGGTGTTAGGTGTTCCTAAAAAAAAAAAGGATACAAAAAGAGTTGAAATTGAATTTCTTTACAGTCAGGTTTTTGGTAATAAACAGCTAGTTTATGAATGTTTCTAGTATTCAAAATCTGGTGAAGAGCTTAGTTATATGTATTTTATTTTTTTATAAATTACAAAGGGGTTTTTAAGTTCTTAGAAAGCACTCTTGATAGAAATTGTTTTAGGTATCTTAAACCTCCTGAATATCACTAGCCATATGCTCTGATTTACGATTTTCACATTTTAAATGGATAAATATTGTATTTATGCCTTCTCTAACTCTAATATGGAATAATGTATTTCATTAATGTTTACTTGTGGATTCAATTTTTTATAATTGGAAAATGAGATTAAGCATACATTAGGCTGTGTAATCAGTTTGAGAAAAGACATTCAAAACTAGGGCTTCCAATGTATCTTTAAAATTTAGTATTATTTGATTGTAAAATTACTTCTTTGTCCAGCTATACTGAAGGCTGCTTTTTAAATATTACATCATTAAGCCATCTCTTTTTATTATTCGCTTTTGTTCTTCTTGGTTTTCTAAAAATATACAATATATTATTTCAATCATCATAAAATATAGATTTAAATGTAAAGATTATTAACTTAATGATATTTAACATGTTATTACAAAAATAAAATAATTAAATACTCATGTTTGTTTTTTCAAATGCTGATTTCAACAGAAAATTTTAATCCATGGTTCTTTTGGTGTGATCATTGTCAATAAAGTAAGGGATTGTAAGGACAAACAATAAATCTGATTTAGTATTTTGTAAAGATAGGATGATGAAAGCTATTGATTTGAGAAAGATGTAAGACTTATTTTTTGTCAGTCTGTAACAAGGGCAAACATGAGATAGTAATATAATGGACATAAACCCCCTGCAACATGAACCCCCTGGACAAAAACCCCCGCGACATAAACCCTCTGGATAATAACCCCCCGACTTAGGTTTATATAAGGAAATAATAACGTTGATGACAACCAAGAAAAACGAAATTAAATTAATGTAATTTTTTTAACCACTAACAAAAGAGTTTTTACATAAAAGCATGCTATTAGAAAGTCAAGGAGTGACCATGGTTGTATTTGATCAATGATCGGGCACCAACAACACCTAGATATAGGTCATCCACCTGTTGGAGCCGTGCAGATCAAAGCAACACATTTTTAACAATACAAAAGATGTGAGAGATTCACCGGCGGGTGCTTGGTTGAAATCCTCCTTGGCACACAGATGCATTGTATAAATATAACATCAAATTTATTCCTCCACAAATCGTATCATAATTTCTGGAATGGAGTTCGTTCAATCTAATAAAGGCAATTTAAAGGTGATTTTTGAAGGCTATGTTTACGTCAAGCAAAAAGATTTGGCGAAAACAAACAACTCAGTTGAAGGCTGCACAGAAGTTTCCAGTCGAATATGGGATGTTGCAAACCAAATATTTGGAAATTCATTCACTTTATTAGCAAGGAACAATCGCTCCAAGAGGTTTATTGTACACAAACTATTTAAATTACTTAAGATTTTTATTTTGGTAATAGATTATGCTTCAATATACTATTATTATGAAAATAGAAGTAGACTGTGGTTTCAGTCCCTAAATATTTGATGAAGAAGCAAACTTATGCAGACTTCTTAAATTGCTAATTTTCTATTAAGTACCTACCGTGGTGCATCCAATCAAACAAGGGCATCGTTGAAAAATTCCGTTGATACGAGTAAAAAATGTTCTTCGGTTAGAATTTAATGATACCATAGTATTTAATTTCATGCGATCATCATTTTCCTTTATATCGAAAAAAAAAGAAATAACTTCTAATATTCAAATTTATACTATGACAGTTAAATTAAAACAATAACACTCACAGCTCTCAATCATTTACATGAACATTAAATGCTTGATAAAATAATGTAAGCTACTGTTAAAACTTTTGTATTGTAGTCAGTGTTATCAGATCATCAAGTATACTGAATAAAGAAAATATTCGAAGTCTCGCATCAACATCTGGCCCTGTTTAAGAAAAACAGCAGAGAAGAGTAAAAACAATACCTTGAAGATATGTAAACATGCAGAGGCTGAGAACAGTGAAGCCATAATTATGGCTCAGAGAAAAGCAGTCTTCATAATTTGAATCTGACATATTTGATAAGGTTTATATACACAAGGCTGTAATAGGTTTGGCACTAAGGATGCACAACCTTTGATTACATTTTAAAAGTGCACCACTAACATTTCCAAGCAGAAGTTAAAATCAGTTAAATATTAGTTCCCATAGTGCATTCCAATAAAAATAATTATGAAATATAATTCCAAAAAGAAAAGTTAGGTGCAATATGAATTTTTTAAAAAGTGTATTAAATGAATAAACAACAAACTGCTTTTGCTATGGTTTATATAAAAAAGTAAAAATAAACAAGCACAGGGAGAGAGATGTTGAAATTGGGTTGAGAAAGAGATGGTTATTATTTAGTAATGTGAATATTACCAATTCAAACATTTAATCAAAAGTAAGAGGTGTTCAAAACTATAGACAATACAAATGATCAATTACTTAACAGTTTGTGATTCTAGTTGGGCAACACTTCCTTTAGTTATACTTTACAAAATTCAATCCATTAACAATAATAATTCAGGTTAAATAGAACATTTAAGACAGTTTACATATACATATGTTTAAGAACTTTTACATAGATGCTTAAGCAATTTACTTTGTGATAAACATAGTATACCTTCTTTGAACAAGAAGAAGCAGTAGAGAATGCATAGTTTTCTCCGATTTCATCTACAGAAGTACCATTAATTTTTATATCTTCAGTGGTATCAGTAATTAGAGATTCATCAGGATAAATCCATTCAGGGTTTGCATTTGGAGTTAATACCTGAAGTGATACATTTTTAAACAATCATTTTATTTGTAGGAACACAGAGAAGAACAGTATTATATTTTGGGGGGAAAATTTCAAATACAGGAAGAATGCATTTTTCATCTAATAAGTCTTCATTTTGATTTAATTTTCCAGATATTAAAATAAAAAATTGGTCAACAACAAGCAAAAACTGAACACATACATCATAATAGGTAAGTTAGAGCAACCTATAATGCACATAAATTTGCACTAAAACTAAAGTAAATTATTTCAGTTACATAAAATACAGATGTCAGTGATTAAATATTTATGACAATTGGATTTACAGTCTGAAATCAGACAGAACTTATAGTTTTAAATTGGAAAATTATTATGAAACTTTTACAGTTGGTTGCAGAGTGGTTGTGTGTACACTGTCTATATTGTGTTTTGACCAAATTTTAAAAATTAAAAATTAATCCATTTCTAAAATAATTTACATTATTTAGACCTATTATTTTTAAAAGTTTATGTTTATTTTTAAATAATTTTTTGTGATGCCCATATGGAACAGAGTGCCCTAGCGGTAGAAGCCTGGACTACTAACCCTAAGTCATGAGTTCGTATCTGAGTTCAAGTCAGTAGACTGTCCGAGTACACCCAACTCTGATGGGTACATAACTCGCGTTAGGGTAAGTAAAGGCAGCTGGGCATAGTGCTGACCACACTATCCCTTCAGATGCCAAGGTCACAGAAACAAGTGAACTCTACTTCATTTGCCCTGTAGACCGTAAGGTTTGAAAGGGAACTTTACCATATGGGTGTAAACGATGGAGTCTAAAACAGACTTATACTGCATTAACACTTATGACATGTAACAACATATATCTAGATCACAAAGCCCGCCAAAAGTAAAATTTTTCTGGAAACATTTTCTACACAGAACATGTATACTTTAGCATTTCCACTTACAGATGATATTATAGAACATTTTAGGAAACAAACATGACCTTTGATTCTGGAGCGTCCGATATAATATAACGAGCCCACCAGCGGCGTATTCGACGCCGCTATTTAGTTGTTTTATTTTCTACTTTTCAGTAATTCATAATTTGTGAATTCGACAGTACCAATGCTGCCACTGAAAATAGTTGCTTTAAAACACTATCAGTAGATCGTTAAGGACGATAACCCCCCCCCCCTCCTTTCCACAACCCCCTCCCCATTGAAAGCAGCCTCCTCTTAGTTACCTCCCCTAAGTTTAAAATCGTTTCAAACAGAATTATCTGCCCCTTATAGCCGTCACTAAACCTAGCTCTACGATTGTAAACATTTATGGTGAAACACAGCTCACCAGACCATGTGAGGGTGGGGATGGTAGGGATATGCCTAGAGAGGAAGAGAGGGGGCTGCTAGGCACGCTTACAGCTTGGTGTTTTCTATGGTCCCCAAGAAGAGAATTATATAGATATATATAAATTTAATAGAACCAGCTCTTCAAGTCTATTGCACCCTGCGCCTGAGCGAAATTGAATCCCCCCCCCCCCGCAGAAACCTTCCCAGGAGTATTCTGAACAGGGCTCTGGTTTACCAACACTACCACAATGGGGTGTGCTGTGTGAAAGCCTTGTGCATATGTTAATCACTAACAGTAATATTACAGTTAATCACTCACCACCTAAGTGTTGGGGATGTAGAGGGGAGCTCTCGTGAGCCCATGATTACACTACAATAGGGGCAATGACTGCACACCCCTGGCTTGGTTTAATTAAAGGGTGTCGTGTGCTGCTTTGTCAATACTGTAGGGCACTCCTTAAAATGAATGTAAATGCCATGGTGCTCACAGGAAAGCACAGGGTGCCAAATCACACCCTGCAGATGTTCAGGAGGATGTGCCTGACTAGGTTAAGTGAATGACTGTAAAATCCCATCTTGTGCAAAATAGTTTAACCAGAAGCTTAAGAGAAATGAATATTATCTTTTTTCATGATAATCTCGGAGAATTTTCATCAAAGCTGCAAATTTGGCAAAGAAAAATAAATCTTGGAAATATTGCGATGTTCAAGAAACTCTGCAGTGTTGTAGATGAATCTGAACGTGAGTGAAAAAAAAATTTGAAAGAGGAGATTTCTAGGGATCTTGAACCTCTTGAAAACATACTGCTGCATTATTTCACTGAGCTAAAAGAAGATAAAAAAATGCATTAATGTTTAACCAGCATTCCTGATGAATTGAAAGCTAATTCTTGGATTTGAAGAATGATTCCGCAGTGTTTGAAAAAAAACTTACACAATCTTAGTGTAGTATGCACCATTTATACCCAAACATGAAATTAGTTGCCTTTTGAATTTTAATTCCTTTTGTGTCTACATATCTTTGAGAGAGTGGATTTTCAACACTTCTCCATCGCAAAATTTCCAAGATTTATTTTTCTTTGCCAAATTTGCAGCTTTGATAAAAATTCTCCGAGATTATCATGAAAAAAGATAATATTCATTTCTCTTAAGCTTCTGGTTAAACTATTTTGCACAAGATGGGATTTTACAGTCATTCACTTAACATAATCAGGCACATCCTCCTGAACATCTGCAGGGTGCGATTTGGCGCCCTGTGCTTTCCTGTGAGCACCATGGCATCTACATTCATTTTAAGGAGTGCCCTACAGTATTGACAAAGCGGCACACGACACCCTTTAAAACGAAGAAATAAATTAAATGTTGAGAAAAAAAAGGGGTTGGCTTTAACAAAAAACTCAACCGTGAATTTGGAGGCTAGTTATTAGCGTGCAATTTGACCAATCACATTAAAATAGTTATCAAAAATAATTTTAATTAAAATTATACTAGAAAATCTTATTTTGTTGTTGAATTTTCTTACAAATATTGACTTTTTAATTCTATCACTATTACTTTTTATAAAAGGGAGGTCGCCACTCAAAAAAGTTTGGGTACCCATGGTCTAATACTATAATTACTATGTAAATCATTTTGGTAACAGATTGTTAAATTTGAAAAAAGTAATCAATTATTTACATGCATAATTGAGGAATGTGCACCTCTTCCACAAAAAATACCACTTACAATAAATTTGACAAAGCAGAAAAGCTGTGAACATTAAGGTTCATCCATTAATGATAATACCACACTGAATTATTGAATATTCCCCTCAACCAACCACTGTAACAAAAGGCCAAATCCCTCCCACAAAATACTGATGTCTCTAGTATTTCAAATGAATTATGTTTTATCATTTTTATTTGTAAGAAATTTAAATGGTTCCTATGTCCATTTGTTTGAATACCAATGCATACCAATAGTAAAAGGTCACTGGTCAATTACAATTAAAAATCAAGCCACAGGCTTCTTCAGAGACTTCTTCACCTCTCTTGTACAGCTGTTCAACTGCATCTCTGTTGAGTATCCAGCAGTAGTAAGCCAGGATTGTGGGTTGGTCATTTCCCTATATCACTAGCAATACCACAGCTGTCAAGATAGATATCCAGATGAGGGTAAAGGAAGTGGATGCATACATATAACCTATTTTCTGGGTTCTGGAAAAATACCACCGTTTAAGTCTTGATCTAAGCAATTCTGCTCTTTTCCTGGGTAATTTAATACTTACAGTGGAATTAAACCAAAGGAAAAGAAAAACTTGTATCAGAAAACTAAATGAGAGTTCTAGACCCACATTTTTAGGACAAGGATACAATAAGGGGTTTTAAGTCAAAAATTGCTTAAGCACAGAGAAAAGCAAAAAAATAAGGCAGTAGTGTATACAAATATGTATAAAATAATTTACCCTTAAGCACATGCGCATTTGCACATAGCAGCCAGATTCAGAAGTCTTAATGTGAAATTTCTGGTCAAGTACCATATCATTAGCTCCTAGAAGTTCTTTTAGCTTGATAAGCTTGCTTCCAATTGATTTTTTAGCCTTGGTATCTTTTAGCTTTATCAAAAAGATTAAAAATATTGTTCTTTACATTTGTAAACCTTTATAATAAAATTAACACAACTAGAAATTACGAGCTAAAAAAAAAATTTCATAAAAAAACTTTTCATAACAAGCTTTTATGTGATAATGCACTAAAACGTTATTATCTATTGGATACCTTTAATAATATTTAGGAAGACCGACGATTAAAAAAAATTATTTAAATAGTGGTGTATTAATATATACGAGCCGACCCGCGGCGTATCATATGCCGCTATTTAGTCGTTTCATTTTCTACTTTTCAGTAATTCATAATTTGTGAATTCGACAGTACCAGTGCTGCCACTGAAAATAGTTGCTTTAAAACACTATCAGTAGGTCGTTAAGGATGATACTACCACCACCCTCCTTTTCCCCAACCCCTACCCTACACCCCCGTGAAAGCAGCCTCCTCTTAAATACCTCCCCTAAGTTTAAAATCATTTCAAACAAAATTATCTGCCCATAATAGCCGTCACTAAACCCGGCTCTACGATTGTAAATATTTAGCGTGAACCACAGCTCACCAGGCCATGTGCGGGTGGGGGTGGTAGGGATATGCCTAGAGAGTAAGAGAGGGGGCTGCTAGGCGCGCTTACAGCTTGGTGTTTTCTAGGGTATCCAAGAAGAGAATTATATATAGAATCCATATATAGATTTTTTAAAAATTATATATTTTATACTTTTTAGTGCATTATTATATAAATGCTTGTTATTAAAAGGTTTTTTATGAATTTTCTTTCAGTAATTTAAATTTTTTATTTACAATAGAGTTGCATGACTAAAAACTATTGCGCTCATAATGAAAAAGATATAATATCGTGGAATAGTTGGATAAGACTGCCCACTAATTTGGACAAAATTTTAATTAGTTCATAAAAAATTAATTAGGCATCCAATTTACTAAGATTAATCCATGTGCCAACTTTGAAACGAATCTGTCAGAAGTGTCCGAAATTTCACTTGGTCGTTTCGATCTTGACAGACAGAGAAAGCAAGTTAAATAAAAGCTTGTAAAAACCACTTGATTTGAAGATGGCATGTCTACAAACCTCTAGTTCTAGGTTCTGTTGATTGGGATTGTGTAGCATAAATCGAAAATGTTCCTCCCATCGTGGATCAGTTGTATTATATTTTATAGTACTTTCTTGTTTCTGTTGTCCTACACTTAAGCTAGCTTGTGGGCATGGTTCATTTAAGGACTTTTTTGCTCTCTAAAAAGAAATTATTTAAAATTCGATTATTTTACTGAGTTAAGCAATAAAGCTAGATATATTAACAAGGGTTACATTACGTCAAACATTTTTCACAAGAGTAAGGTCAGTAAAGCAGTAATGCCATAATTAACTTTTCTTTTTTTCTCTTTAAAGGACAACCAAGTCATTGGTTGACTGCATGTTCCAAATTATACACACACATCTCTAGTGTTTATACCAAGCAGCATTTTACAGCCTCCATGTAACTTAATATAAGGTGTAAGAACTGCAACAATGCTGACTACATACACTATAAGTCTGCTAATAAGAAACAGACTAAAAACCTCACTAACCAGCTTCTCTCACTACAACAGAATACCAGGTTCAGGCAAAGCAAACTCTCAGAACAAGCACTAAAGACAGGGTTACAGATAATATAACAGGTGATGTGAGTCAACAACAAACAGGTGCTTCCCAGGATACACCTTTGCCAAAGAAATACTAAAAATCGCAAAATGGAGATGGATATGATGCACATTACTCAATATCATCAAGAGCATTAGATGGGAATGCCCAAAAAAGAGAAATGTAGGTAAGCCCAAACTAGGAAAAGATCAACTGTCAAAAAGCACAAGCAGATGGAATGTCTAGAACCTTACTTGAAGGAATAACACAGAACTTGGTAAAATGGAGAGGTGTGGTTGCATCCTTAATCTTCACAAAGAATGCACAAGGAAGAAATGATAAAATTGGAGGGGGAATTTTAAAAAACTAACAACAATTTTTTTCAAAAATTTTTACTGAGCTCAGTCAAAACTAAGTGAGACTATTTTAGCAGGTTTGAAGGGTTTAATAGTTCACTAAAAGAAATTTAAAAAATGTTGCTACATAATTAACAAAAAGCCCAGCCACTTTTTGCTACCTCCAATTTAATACATGAACACAATATATACATATATATATATATATATATATATATATATATATATATATATATATATATATATATATATATATATGTCTTGGTTGTAAACTGTCTATCTCAAAAAAATTCAATTTTCTGTATTTTACATAGATCTCAAGCTAGTATGATTCCCCCCAATGCCTAAAAATATTATAGAAATCTGGTGAATGATTATTGACATATAATCTTCTGAACAAACTGGCTATTATTTCTAGCGCTAAAAATCTTGGCGCAAAACAAAGATTGTGATTTCTGTCAGTATACTCTTGAATTTGCGCAATTGGAAAATTTTACACCGCAGCAATCAAAGTATTTATAGGTAAGGATATTAGATTAATTATGTTAAATTATTCTATGACATTTTATTGTTTTAAAGAATAATAAACAAAGAATATTTGTTTAATATAATCTATTTCCAGCTAGATTTTTGAGAACCAAACATTTTTATTAGACTTTCAATTTAAATCCAAATTCTAGATTGGCCTCTCTCAACACACCAGTCTTGCCATACAATAGTTCAGCCTCTCACAACTGATCTGTCTCACCATACAACAGACCAGTCTTACCATACACAGACCAGCCTCTATCAACAGACAGTCTGGCCTTTCAAGAATTCAATGCGACAGACACTGCAATACAACCCTGATGCCATTTTCTACTTCAAAGTCAATTAGCAGATAGTTAGCAATATATAAACTTGGGTTGCAACATTAAGATCCTATCCCTGGTCCCTAACAATTTGTACAAGAGCAGAAGAAAGATTAAAGCTGTCGAATATGAGCATCTACAAGAAGGTCATACATACACATTTTTATGATAATTTGCCCAAGTTAAAAACATTTTACCCTATTTAATATTTTCAAATGTGACTTTTTAGAAGAATAAATAAAAACTAAACATATTTTTTTTATTTGGTTGCATTTTTCTCTGAAGCCAATTTTTAAAAAATAAGTAAACCTTGAGTAATTATTAATTAAAACCATACTTAAACACCTCTGGGGTCGTCCATAAACGACGTCACGCTTTTTTTTACCCCCCCCCCCCCACGTCACACATCGTCACGAAAGGTCACACTCCATCCCCCCCCCCCCCCAAAATTTACATTTTATCCTATGTTTTAAATTTGCTGTGTTTTCATCCCGTTAAATTTACCCCTCGTTGATACAGCATTAATAAAGAGCGTACAGGACCCATTCGTGGCACCAGCAGGTAAACAGTAATACAGTGAGGTAATGTTAAAGCTGAAAGGATTAATTTTTTTTTAAATACTTAATGTAAATGTAGGTATTTCTTGCAGACATGATGACACACGAGAAAATAACAATATATTGAGTATAATATGCAAATTATTTAAATGTTAGCACTATGCCCAGACCTTTAATTTTCCTAGTATATTTCATTGTAGCCTATATGATGGACTTAACGGATGTCATCTCTCACAAAGCAATATAAATGTCATAGATTTAGTAAAGACTCTCCACTAGATTATTAAATTGCGTGTTTTGCTGTTAGCGAAGAGGATGTTGAAATAGGACAAGAAATACTTTCACATTGACTTAAATCTAAGCAAATTTTATAGAAACTTTATTAATAACGATTAAATAATAGTATCAGTAACAAGTTATACTTAACCGACCATATCTAGACTAAATACATTCATATTTCTAAATCTTAGCAAGATCATTAACAGAAGTATTTTTAAAAAAACTACTTACAACAGTATTAATAAGGCAATCCTCAATTAAAAGTTGTGATATTTAAGCTAATTCATTCTCCCATGGAGAATTAAAATGTTCCTTCATTGAATACATAGGGACAGAATTGATTTTTTTCCTGTATAAAATGGGAATTCCCTTTAAATCAAGATCTTCCTCTTCTATCCAATCTACACTCTCACCATTAATTTCATTGGCAATCACCACCATCAGTTCACGTTGGCGGCAGCAACTCTTAGAGGCCTGATGCGCTGTAATGGCACAATTGATGATTCCTATTTGTGAATTAAGGAATGATTGCGCAGCATGACCAATGTAGAGAAGTATGAATGACACTTCTTACAAACCCTGTCGCTGATCACGGACTGAACAGACGGACAATACAAATCATAAGGGATTGCGCGATAAGGATTTGAAGAGCGGGGAAGGATTTCATCCACTTTTATACTTTGAGCAACAAAAAGAGATGGAAATTTATGTAAAGAGACATCTGTTGAACGCTCAGGTATTGTTGGTCCACAGCTTTTTTGAGCGACTGGTAAAGGTGGAGGAAGAAATCTATCAGTTTTCAAGCTGAAATAGGAGCTTCTAGGCTATGAACAACATTTACCATCCATGCATTTAACGATCTGAGTCAAATACTGGCTAGTTCTCACATGAATATCATGCCAACTCTGATCCTTTCAGAGCAGAGAAGTTTCAAGGAGTTCAGACTCTTCTGGATCTATGTATGCTGCCACTGTAGGAAATGTATCCACTGTCAAGTGTGACCATATTTCTGCCAAAGTGTTTCCGGCAAACTGAAAATTCTTCTTCTCTAAATCTGTGTCTATTGTGACTCCTCTTTCATCCAAATGACTGCCGTAGTGGTCATGGAGTAAAACTAATCCTGTGAGCTCATTGCTAAGTGGCGCCATTTTTCTTTCAACCCTATTAAATGCACTTCTTCCTGGTGCATTGGTAGCAATGAACAAACCATCATAGTTCTGATTGAGAAAGTGGTGTACTGCAAATTTGATCACCTTTTGATACCTAGGATTTTCGTCTGGGCTACCATCAACCATCAACACTAATTTGATCCACACTACTCTTTGTGATATCATCAAATTCATGTAAAGTAAGTAATTTTTCAAAATCAAGTCCATGACTAAGTGCTGTGGATGAGGAATGTTTACCAGATCTGATTGATATGTATGTTGGGCCGGAGTATCCAACAGCTTCTCGATTTCCCAAGGCGTTGGGCTGAATTTTTATCCCGGCATAAACTGAAGGGATCAGCTTATGTCACAACCCAGTCATGGTCATGCAAGCTCACCCTGTATTCCATGTGCATGAGCAATGGACTGTTTTTTAGCTGCTGTCAACCCAAGCCTTGTCATCTTGACTTATAAAGCATACCTCATTCTGTCCATGCATGGAAGCTAACTCTTCTAGGTGATGCAGTGTTGCCGCTGTAAACAAGCGATCAATGTGATTTGCATGGCAATCGTTTTGCGCTCTTATCAGTTTTACTGGGACTGTCGATACATGTCGTTGTCCTTCATGAGAAGAAGTACGTCTTGGCAACAGTCTAAGGTACAGCCCACTTCTACTAATTATAAACCCATCCTGTTTTAACTGATCAGTTAGCTGATCTAATGTTTTAATAGTCCTGTACACTTCGTTCTACCTCCTCTCGTGTGATGCTGATTCATGCATAGCAATGTTTATGATAGTTTCCAATAAAGAAGATTGATCTTCTTCAATCCTTGGCCTGCCAGAATTAGATCTAACATTCAAAGTGGCGCGTAGCCCCGGATTCTCTTAAAACAAAGCATTCAGTTTTCTTTTCATTTCGAGCTTTCTGAGATCTTATTTGATCAGATATCTTCCTCTTTAGCTTTTTTTCCAAATCACCCTTTTTCTGTTTCTTTTCTTTAAGCTCCATGTTCTGTTCTTGCGTTAACATTCCGCGAGTTTGTCGCTCATACAAGCAGACTAGATCAGAATTCAGAAACTCAATCTCTGATTGTAAGTTTATCTGGACTGTAGCCTGCTTAGATGTTGATAGTTTGCTGGTAGAGGGTTTGAAATCACTGACTTCATGAGCATCGTTCACTTCTTCATCTGACTTCAGTGACTTATTAGTATTAGGTATTTCTTTTGCCAAATCATAGGGTGTTTCTTATTTGTAGGTGAAGATACAGATGTTTGTTTGACCCAAAACGTCAAAAGTGAGCCTTTTTTAGCGGCAGCAATTGCTTTTGATCCTGCAGCCAGACCTCCGCTTTCAAGTGCAGATCTGAATCTCTTTTTAGTTGAGTCCACTTTTCAACGACTTTTGCTTGGCAAATCTTTTTACTTTTTTAGGAGATGCCAGCACGTAGGCATAAAAAATAAATTGGAACATTTTATTTTTATCCATTATTAACAGTCGATTTTTAAGCAGAATATGAGATTATTAGATCTACCTTTCAATTGAAAAGCCTCACACAGACAAAGTTGATTCAGCGAGACATGTGTATGCCTATTTAAGTTGTTCAAATAAACACGCATCACAAGCTGACCCTACACACATCCGCTTTTTTTTGACCGCACCTACAAAAAATCACGTGATCTCGACCTTGGAACTGATTGTACAAGTTATTTTTCCTCTAGATCGTTCAACAAGCATGAGCTACCGGCATGAACACCACGATGTAAGGGGTCAAGGCGTGTCATCAAGGGCAAGAGTCGCAGCCCTAAGTGAGAACATAAGTTCTGTAAATAGTTTTTAAATAAAGTATTCGGGAAACAGGGTTTAAAGTTTTATTATGACTGCCCTACTCTGTAAACTTCAAAGAATAGCAAGCATTACACTGATACCCCTGCCTTACCCTCACTAGTTGATATGCTTCCGACTTTTATTCATATAGCACTATTGACAAATTTGCAAATACGGCAGTCTACTACACAACATACATCGTCAAATTATAGGGCAATTTAATTAGAACAACGATATATTTCACAATCTTTTGACAACTTAGAAGTATCACAACCAATGTAAAAAATTATTTAGTATTTAGTAAGTTTATTTTTCTAAAAACTAAAAAAAAAATGCATGTTAATCAATTCGTGGAATTAAGACAATGTGACGTCACACTGTCTCTACCCCCCCCCCTCCCCCTCGTCACACAAGTCTGAACCCCCTCCCCCCTAGGCGTGTGACGTCATTTATGGACGACCCCTCTACTAAAATTCATCTCATAATGTAGAGTAAACTCAAATAATAAAATATGAGCACTAAATTATATTCTAGATATTATTAAGTGTTAATGATAACTTAAAAACATAAACATAACAAAATCACATTCCTTGGAGGAATTCAACGGACGTGGCTGAGACTGAAATTCTCGGTTCCAAACAACTAAGTCAGCACGAGCACAGATAGACAGTTTGTCAGTCAGAGCTTTAGACAGAGCAAACCGACTGTCCATTAAAACATTAATTAATTTTGTAAATATTAACAAACTCATTTTAAAACACTACAGTATAGTTGGTACTGAGTTTCTTCGCAAATATAAATAAATATTTAATTAGAGCGATCGAGACTGAAATAATCAGTTTTTTTGTTTCCCCTGTAAAATGTACATCTTTGGAGTAGGACAATTTGTGACCGAGACCATCAATATGTATATATAAATAAAGATTCACTAGGTGTGAGTTTCAGAAAGCTTTCTCGAATCGATAAATCATTAATTTTAACTATTTCTTCCAACAGTTATAAAACAAATTATTGCGACATGAAAAAGTTATTTAAGAATAACAACATATTGACATTTGACAACCAAATGGAGGCATAACTAAATCTAGTGTACTAGCACTATACGGCAAAAAAAAAACAACAATAAACTGCTTAGGCTTTCCAAAGTAAACTTTCAGAAGGTTTCAAAAAAACTACAGATTTCTTCTATTTTAGCATAAAAACATTGTTAAGGAACTTTAAATGAATTTTATATTGGTATGACAGTAACACATTTGCAGCTAATAACTCAAGTGTTTTGCCTTAAATGTGAAGCCTTAGTGCATGTAGGTGTGAAATCCACTGGCTTTTTTTAAGTATAGGCTGCTGGGCCTGGTGCTGAATACACCATTCCTACATATGCCGAGGTCAAGGAACATATGAACTGTACTTCATCTGCCCAATGGAGGGTTTAGGATAGTACCCCCCCCCCCCCTCCACACTCCTGAAAACCCAAACCCCAAACCTATATCTAAACCTAGCCCCAACATCAATCCTAAACCAACTCAATTCGCACATTTAACCCTAACCTTCACCTGGTGGGGGAAATTTGATGGGTGGGGCGGGGTAATTTTTTCAGGGTGTAATGTTGGTGGGGTAATGTCCTGCTGCCGTTAAGAGAAAATACCCCATCAGGCTAATTAATATTTATATTACTTAAGGACAAAAATTAAAAACTCAAGATAAGTGGATCATACCTTAGACACACAATAAAGGTTAATCTAATTTTAGAAAAGACCAATAAAATAAATAATTACAGGCAGATTGTGTGCTGAATCCAAGAATATAAGCAAAATGGCAGCATGAATCCTATCTTCATTAGTGCTTTGATCAAGCACCTGTTGAACAACCTGAAAAAGCAATTTATAATAATTATAATAATTCTTAAACACTACTAAACAGTAAAAGTTTTTTTTAATAAACTTTCTAGAACATTCTTATATAACACTTCGGGGGATGGCAACTTAGGACATAGACATGATTATTTTTTATTATTTAAACTTTGAAAAGTAGAAAAGAATCTCCGAAAAAAAAAGAAATAAGCACCAAGTAAACGGCAAACAATGTGTGTATATTAGTCCAGATTATTAGTTCTCTAAACTGATATGAGATCAGAAATAGTGTAAAGTACTACTTCGGACGAACGGAAATTACTCAAATTTGAAAGAAGGCAGAGTATTAGATATTTAACTTTTAAGTGAAATTTCGTCTATCTCTCTGAAACAGTACTCAAGTTATAGGCTTTTGAAAAAAAAAAGTAAAATAAGATACACTTGTGGTTATTGGAAATCTCTGAAAAGTTAAAATAGAACAACAAATTTTATATAATATTTTTAAACATGAAATTTTATAAACCTAGCTGTAACGGTACTCAAGTTTTCATGTTCCCAGACACACATCCACATAGACACAGAAAGACATACTGACAAAATTATGCTTTCAAAACCTTAAAAAAAGAACAGGTTCAATACACAAAAAGATTTAAGAGAAAAATACTAAAATATGTTTTTCGACATCCTAAAAAGTGTCATGTTTATTGGGGTGGGGGGGGGGGGGGGGGGGGGGGGGGGAAATTGTTGTGTTATATATCTTGTAAGCATAAGTGACATAAACTCAATCTTTTGAACTCAACACAAGGACACTTAAAGAATAGATTCAATTTTATTCAAACCTCAAAAAATAAGTACATTATTTAAATTTATTGCATTGACATTGGCTTTTTTCAGTTTCTGATAAAATTAAAAACGGAAGTAAAAAAAAAAACAAAATTTAGTACGTTTTTAAAAAAATCACCAAGGGTTCAGGAGGTAATTGCCTACATATTTTTTAAAAGGTATTCATATTTAAATGTTATAGTTGTGAATAACAACCTTTAAGATAAGTGTAAGAATTCAAGACAAGCAAAAAATAGCCTATGTAACTTTATTTTTAGAAAAAGCAAGTGTATTTTGGTGTATCACTACCATAATGTGATATTTGTGGAACCAAAGCAATGTATAAATACATATTTATAACATACAGGTAAACTGACTGAGGTATTATAAATGAACTTACTTTTAAATGCACTACTGGTTCTAGACACTAATAGTTTTTTTCTTACTTTTACAGGCAGTACT